AAAAATGTGTCCTAATTTACAAAAAGAAATCATATATCAGCGTTTTCAAAAAGTAATGATATCCTAAAGCTTTGAAACAAAACAATAGGATTAACTTCAAGGATTACTTTGAATAGCTATTAAAAATCAAAGGTAAATCAATGATCTCCCAATTGCCAACTTCTGTGTTTGGCGGGCAAGTACGGACTAGGTCCACAACCTCTTCTTCAGATGTATCCACATCAGCAGCAGCAGCCACTGAGTTTTGAAACTCAAATCCAGCACTATAGAAGCTTTTCAGAAGATCACAAATAGGGACCCCTTCAGTCTTAGGCTCTCTACCTTCCAACCTGACTAATCTTCTTTCTTTCTTTTCCTCCATGACTCTTCTCTTATCAGCTTTAGTGGGCATGTATCCCAACCCAAATCTATCCTTATTCTCATGGAGCTGTAACCAGTTTGTTGCTTTCGATATGACTTGCCCTAACATGTATCCATACTGACAACCTCCATCGAGCATGACTTTAGCAGTCATTATGGATGTATTAGACAATCGAGGTTTTAAGATTGGAGCTCCCTCTCCAACATAAGTAGCATTTGCAATCTCTAAAGCCTGAAAAGATGTCTCTAGAGCTTCTTCAGCAGCTTCAATATAAGGAGTGGACGAAGGCTTACTCACCAACACATCTTCACCAGAGACAATCACCAACTTATTATCAATGATAAACTTCAGTTTCTGATGCAATGTGGATGGTACAACTCCTGCAGAATGAATCCAAGGCCTCCCCAAAAGACAGTTGTAAGCTGGCGCGATGTCCATTACTTGAAACAAAATCTGCAAAGTGCAAGGACCGATTTGGATTGGGATTTCAATTTCTCCAATGACCTCTCTTCTTGTTCCATCAAAAGCTCTTACTATCATGGCACTGGGTTTCATATGCGACCCATCATAAGGTAATTTTAACAATGTTGCTTTTGGCATCACATTCAGAGAAGACCCATTATCAATAAGCACTCTAGCAATAATATGATCTCAACATTTCACAGAAATATGCAGTGCTTTATTGTGCCCCATTCCTTCGGCAGGTACTTCATCATCAGCGAAGGTGAGATAATTGTTTGAAACAATATTACCAACAATGCCTCCAAACTTGTCGGTAGTGATATCATGGCTGACATGAGCCTCATTCAACACTTTCAAAAGAGTCCTCCTATGTGGCTCAGAGTTCAACAACAGCGATAAAAGAGATATCCGTGCTGGAGTTCTGTTTAATTGTTCCACAACTTGATATTCACTTTGCCGAATAAATTTCAAAAACTCACAAGCTTCTTCATCTGACACCGTTTTCTTTATTTCAGGCATTTTCTCTTCGTCGGCGTCTTCAAACTCGCCCACTTTGGCTTTCCCTTTTGAGGATCTCTCTATCTCTTTTGTTCGCTCCTTTCTCAGCTCCTCAGGTGTGTAAATACGACCGCTACGGGTCATCCCACCAACACCAGCAATGTTTGAGACGGCGACAGTAACAGAATTGACACCTTGTGTTTGGTTTTCCTTAAAATTGCCAACGTAAACCCCTGCATCATACTTCCATGGTACTGCTTTGTTGTCCTTGTAAGTGAATGGAGCCGGTACTTGTATAGTGATGGGTCTAGGTCCGTTGGTAGTTGGGGTATTCATACATTTGGTGTAATGAATGACCAAAGGTTTCGGGAAAGCTGAGGATTGCCCATCGACAGTCAAAACTTCATTTTTCTCTTTAGGGTGTCCAATTTGGACCAGATTCTTGTCCATCAAGGTTTGTAGAACATGCTTGAATTCTTCACAATCTTCAATGGAGTGGTCTGCATCAGGGTGCAAATCACATATATTTTCTTCATGTACAAAACCCTTGATTAAGTCAGTCTTGCACAGCTCAGCAAAAATAATCTTAAGAGGAGTGGTAACCTTTTCAACTTTCCTCTTTAAAACATATGTAGACTCTTCCTCGACGGCATTTACCGATGATCCTCCATGCCTGGGTAGGGGATTACTCCTAATGTTAGGATTATCCTCCTTGAAATTTAGCCATTTGGCATTAATTAGGTCTTGCACTTTGAACTTTAATGCCCTACAATTCTCTGTTGAATGACCAATGCCACCAGCATGATACTCGCACTTAGCGTTTGGGTCATACCCTCTTAGATAGGGCGGTTCTACAGGTTTCATTGGGCAGGGTACAACTAATGAACTTTGGAATAGGCGAGGTAGTAACTCAGTATAGGACATGGGGATTGGGTCGAATTGAACTTGCTTCCTTTCCTGATTGTTTTGGGGTCTTATTTGGTTGGGATTTGGGTTTTGGTTCCAATGCTGGGGTGGTCTCATGGGTGGTGCTATGGGAAAAGTAGGCGGAGCAGGTTGGTAGGGTCGCGGCTGATAAGATTGGAGACTTGGATTCTATGAAACAGCATTAACATATGGGTAAGACATTTGAGGGATAGGAAATGTGGGTTGGAATTGAAAAGGTGCAGGGTTAGGTCTGATGAAATGAACTTCTCTTGGGTGAAAGGCTATAGCATTAGTCTCTCCCTCCTTCTTTCTTCCTGGACCATTTGTAAATTTCTTCAAACTAGAGGGTCCGCCCGAATTGTGAAATATCTTACCACTCCTCATTCCTCCTTCCACTCTTTCTCCGATAATCACAATATCAGAGAAGTTTGACGAAACACTTCCAATCATTCTATCATAGAAAGGTGATTGAACAGTATCAATAAACATAGCCACCATTTCTTTTTCAGACAAAGGGGGCTCCACTTGAGCTGCAACTTCTCTCCATCTCTGGGCATATTCTTTAAAAGTCTCATCCTCCTTCTTTAACATATTCTGCAGTTGTAATCTATCAGGAGCCATATCAATGTTGTACTTATATTGCTTTAGGAAAGCATCAGCCAAGTCTTTCCAACTACGAATACGAGTACGCTCAAGATGCATATACCAACTCAAAGCTCCTCCAATTAAACTGTCTTGAAAAAAATGAATTAGCAGCTTATCATCATGGGCATGTGATGCCATCTTTCTACAGTACATGATCAGATGACTCTTTGGGCATGTTGTTCCTTTGTACTTATCAAAATCAGGCACTTTGAATTTTGGAGGAACTATCACATCTGGGACTAAACAAAGATCTGCAGCTTCCCTAATGCCATAGCTGCTCCCCTCGATAGCTCTCAATCTTTCTTCCAATATTTGTAATTTTTCTCTGGATTGGAAGTGCTTCTCTGAGTAATTGGGCTAGGGTTCTTCTAAGGTCTTATGGGAATGGAATGGTGATATGGCTGGGTTTCCATTAAGGCTAGGATTAGTGATTTGTGGTTGGTGGTGGATCGGTTGGTTTGGGGTAGGTATAATGTGGGGTATATGAGCTTCTTGGGGATGGGTATTTTGAGGGTAAGCATATGATGGGATGGATGTTTGGGTTGGTTGGATTTGTGGATCTGAAGGTTGTGCAGGATTGGGTTGATTTAATGGCTGGCCAGTGTTTTGTGGGTTCTCAGCTATTGGTGGCGTATAACCCTGGGGAAGGCCATATGGGGGAAATTGGACATCTTGTTGATTAAAAGCTTGTTGTGGAGGCCTTTCTACATGCAAGGTCAAAGGCACCATTGTTTCATGAGGAGGATAATTTTGGGACGGTCCTTGTGTAGGGGTAAAACCTGGTGGATAGGTAGGAGTGGGTTGTGCTAGAGGTGCTTGAATAGGGGTCCCCTCTGTGGTTCTTCTCTCTAAAGACTTCAGTGCCTCTAGGATTTGTGCCATTTGTTCTTTCAACTGATTAACATCGTTCCTCAGTTCTTCATTGTGCTCCTCTAACTCATCCATGATCCTTGCTTGAGCGCGAGTTCTATAAGGATGCTTTAGAAAACGTTTCCCCGTTATATTTGTTTAATTTTCTGAAATAGTTTATAGTCAAAAAAGAATTAATCAAAATGAAAAATGCACTAAAAAAAAAAAACCAAAGATTAAAGAATCATCACAGTTGTTAAGCGTCTTCAAGTCTTTAATGGAAATTAATGTAGGATCCTCGTCAAATGAAACACACCAAAATATAATCCATAATCAAAGTACATCAGAATTTGATTCAAAATACATCTTCTTTTTCCTACCCATACATAGTCTACCCATACCCCAAATCATTACATCACCCCTTCCTAGCCCTAGCTATCATTCCTTTCATCTCTGAGACCAACCAGTTGCAATGGCTAAGGAAATCTTTAATTTCTTGAGGTATCGTGTAGAAAAAAGTAGCTGTCTCAGCCTTTGACAACATATACGGGACATCATCAATCGCGGCATTAGCTAATGATGAAAGTTGTATGAAGCGCTTGATCCAATACTCAATGAGCTTATCTCCTTCTTCTATCTGACCATCTTTCACTTTCACAATAGCTTCATACTCTTTCATGATTCTGATCACTTCCCATTTTTCAGCATTAATTTCAGCCTCGCATGCCATGACAATTTCCTTTATCTGTTCTTCCATATTTTGCACTCGTGTTTGGAGTTCATTGGCTTGAGTCAAAGCTTCTTCTCGATCTCTTTTTGCTTTGTACAATGTACCTTTCAATTGTCGTTTCTCATATAAAGCTGCATTTCGCTCCTTCACCCTCAATCACAATTCCTTGCTTGCAGCCTCAAGGCAACGTTGAACTTTGGCTGCATGGCTTTGCACAGACTTCTGCTTCTTACAAACCTCTTCATAGGCTTGCTGTTTTTCACTATTTTCTCTTTTCAAAATGGTGCAAGTTTGGCGGCTCTCTCGAAGCTCCCTTTCTACCCTCACATTCTTCTCAATCATTTTAGCCAGTCTTACCTTTAATTCTTTTACTTCTTCATTCTCAAAGGGTTCTGGATTAGATGGCTCACTTTCTTGGGAGGTACCTGGATCTTTGAATGGTAACTTAATCTCTTGGACTCTTTCTTTAACCCATTGACGGTAACTTGCTTTCGCTGCACAACTTCTCACGCCTAGCTCTTTTCCTTTTCAAACAATTATTGCCCAAGCATTCCTTGCTTTTTGGATAAGCTCCGTGAAATTTCCATCTTCATAATAGACAACAAAAGGAACCAATAATTCCTCAGCAGGTGGTCCCATCATAGGATAAGCAAGCTGACGTTGCCCCATAATTGGATTATAATTTATACAACCCCGAGTACCCATAAGAGGAACATTTGGATAATTGCCGCAATGATAAATAATGGCCGTCGACTGTTGCCATGGAGTGTGCCACCCGATGTGTCCTTCATTCAAACTAGCTAGGTGATTAGCCCACTCTTGACCATTTTTTTGCCCAATTTGAAACCTCAGCAAATCAGCGATCGGACACTTGATCTCACTTGGCCTTTTAAAGACATAAGCTGTGAGCCATATATAAAGCATAGGTAGACAACATATAATCTTCTTTCCTTTCCTTTCATGGCAGAAACTCAGTGTACAATAAACATCAGCTAGTATTGCAGAAACAGGATTTTCAGATCAATTTTTGCATGCAAGAAACACATCTATCGCTGCTAAATCCACAAAGTTGTCATGCCTTGGGAAGAGGACAATGCCATAAATGGTGAGTGCTAGGACATCCATGAAAGTTTCCCAATGTTCCTTTTCTACCAAATTATGCATGTGTCGTTCAAGAAAATCTCTTGTGAATCCCCTATTCTGATGTCTTTCTTGATAAGCTTGTTGCAACTCTGCTGGATGGATCCTTAAGACATTGGCAATAGTTGGTAGAGATGCATGATGTTCCATGGGGCGATATGGCTGTTGACCCTCCAAAGGCAAGTCTAGAATTTGCTCAAATTCCTCTAAGGTCGGAGCTACCTGAAAATCCTGAAAAGTGAAGCACCTCAATGGGGAATCATAATACTGGGCTAAAGCTGTTATGGCATCTTCTTGCACATTCACTTCCATCAATCTCAAAATATTTCCATATCTCCTCACTAAAGTGAGTTGTTGGACTGTCTTCAGCTTCTTTCCTAACTCTCTCAGACTAGCCGTGTCAGCCATTTTAACTCTCAGATGCAATTTCCTCCTCAGCTCAATTGATCTCACATCACTGCTACTTGATCCCACATTAATTTCCATTTTCTTGAATACTCAAACAATTTTGTGATTCTCAACCTATGAATAAAAAGAAAATGATGAGAAATTATTTCAAATTTTGTATTTGTTTCATTAACATAGGATCCTAGTAGCCATAAGGATTAATATTGATTCTAAACAGATAAATGTCCATATAAGAATCAACATTAATCCTAAATGAATCAATAATCTACTAGGATTTTTATTAATGAAACAAATATGTGATGACTATGATAATGCGAGAATAATATGAATCACCACCCTTTTTAAGTTTTTTTTTCAGTTTTTTTCTCTTGATAAATCTAAATTGATACTTATAAGGGTAATGCTTCACATGACAATGCAATTATGTAAGAAATTATGCAAATTGTCATCCTTAACCTTATTTCAAAACTGATTTTAAATTTATTACAAGTGTCGCAAGGATGGCAATAAGCATGATATTCAAATAAATGATATGCAATGATAAATGAAATGATGATGATGTAAGAAAAAATTAATTAAGAGAATCATGTGAATTACTAGTCCTTATATTATTCCAAAAAAAAAAATCTTCTCCTTTTTTATTTAAAAACTTTAAGGCACTAATAATTCACATAATTTCTAAAAGAATAAATAAGGAAAAAATACCCCCTTTTGTGTCCTATTTCAGGTCACCTAAAGGGTCTAACTTAAAGATCTACAACTTCCTTTTACGTGTAAAAACTCACAAAAGGTGGCTTGTAATCCTAAAAGGTCACTAGAGATAAGATCCAATCCTTGATGTTGACCACAACAGTAGGGAGTCTACTAGATGCGGGACATCAAGAAAAGGTCAAACTCTAGCTAGGGTTTTCACGATAGCCAAATAGGACGTGCATCCAAAATGACACCGCTACATAACCCCTCTAATCCTAAGCATACTCAGACCCGGGTATAAGGCCCCGCTCAAAGTGTGTGATAAATGTGTAAGTGGTAGTGTGTGAGGGAGCATACAAACCTTATCAACTCAACAAAAATAAAAAGCTGCAAAAATTAAACAACACAAGAATATACAAATTATCAATAGTCATCTACCCTAGGATTAATAACAATATCAATATGAGCATACAATGAGATTACGCAATTCATACACGAAATACATGCACGAATAAAAGCAACACTACAATTGACTCAAATAAATAAAAAAGAAAGGGATTAAACAAATAGAAACAAAATAAGACAAATTCGCACGATCAATTATCAAAGGCTTGACTCTCTAAAAGATTTCCCCAGTGGAGTCGCCATCTGTCGCAACCGGGCGATCGCAACGGTATGACGGATGACAAACTTGTTCCAAAATATCAGAGGAGTCGCCACCAAAGTTTATTTTTATGAAAAACCTTGGAAAAACTTAAATATAATACGATCTTTGAAACCAAAAAATGAGTTCGGGAGTCATTTACGTGTAGGGAAGGTATTAGCACCCTACAACGTCCGTTTAAAAAACGGTTACCTAAAATTAATTGTACAAAATTATTCTAATTTTGAAAATATTTATTTAACCCCTAAACATTAATTATTTTATTTTCGAAGAAGAAATATTATTTATTGAAATATTATTCGGGTTATTTTAAAAAATATTTTGACTTGACGGGTACGGTTCCCGCTCCTACGTATCCCCGGATGCAATGAAGAACTCAAAGCCACGTAGTTCTATCTAAAAATTATGAAATTAGTTGATTATAATTAAGTTTAGTAAAAGAAAAATTTATTTTAGAATTAAAATCATTTTTTGTAAAAATTATAATGTTTAGGATACAAGATAATGCAGTTATACATGTACCCTACGAGAAAACAATACAGAAAGTGAAGGAAGATTACACAACTATACTGCAAATCATTAAGAAATATTTTATTCGTAAATGGAGTATTTGAATTTTAATTTTGATTATGATTAATACTGAAAGAAATTTAAGATAGCGTAAGCTATACATAAACTTCTTATAATTTATTAAACTATCGAAGGCAATGTAAATTACACATCGATATTATAAAAATTTATAAAATGAATAAATTATAGTAATTTAATTTATCAAAATTTGAAACATGACTTAAGAAAATAAAAAAAAATAATTTTATTTGAATTGATTAAAGAAGATACTCATTTAATAAAAAAACATTAAAAATTTTATTTGATAGATTTATATTATATAAAACCTAAGGTAACGTTGGTACACATAGATTTTGACAATTTATAACGCATAAAGGTAGAGTCGCTACACATTAGCATTATAAATTATTTCTTAATAAAATAATTTAGATTTAAATTAGTTGATTGATTTGTAAATTAGTATTTAGAAGAGAAATACATCTTGCATTATTATTAAAGTGATTAACTAATTAATTAATGACAATACGTGATAAGTTAATATTGCATAAAGTCTTGGTAACGTAAGTACACATAAACTTTATCAATTTATAATACATGACGATAGAGAAGCTATACGTTAGTATTATAAATTGATACAATTATATTATTATTTATTAATTAATTATAAAAAAATAAGTAATTTAGTATTCACAATATAAAATAAAATAATCATAAATATAAAATTAAATCGCATTAATATGATACAAATATACAATAAATAAAATAAAAGATAACAATCCTAAAAAATAAGATATAAATAATGAAATATAAAAAAGGAAATAATTTAAAAAAATCAACTCAGATATGATATTGTAAAGTAAACGGTATCAAGAGATTTTAAATAAATAAAATAAAATAAAATAATTTAAACAAAGTTAACATAAAAAAATAAAATAAATAATAAAAACTCATTCATTAAATAAATTAATAATTATCATAATAACAAATAATAATGATGATGAATAAATAAATAAAACTAAAACAATAAATTATATGTTGAACTAAATAATGATAAAAATAAAATAAATAAATAAAATTCGGACAAAAAATAATAAAAAAATAAAAAAAAAGATAAAATCGTCTCAAATTTTAAATTTTCAGATTTGAGAGGGAAGGACTTTAGGGTTAGGGGTGTGCTTTTCTCCAAGAAAAACAAAAAAAGGTTATGAAAGGGTGGAGGTGAGGTTAATGGAGGCCATGGTTTTGAGTGGTGAAGGTTATTGAGAGCAAAAGGAAGAGGAATGAGACAAGGTAGGGAAAGAGTTTTTTTATGGTGAGTTTTGTGTTTGTGGATGATGATAGATGGAGGAATGGGTGGAGAGGTGGTGAGACATGGATATTTGAAATGGTGGTTTAAAATATATTTTTTTCATTTGAGATTGATTTGATATAGGAAATGTTTATTCAAAATATAAATATATATGAAGAAGAAAAATGTGTAAAATGTATGATGAAGCTTACTTGATGTTCTTGAAAATTTTTGCTTGCCTCTTGTTCTTCCTCCTTTCCACTAACCTTTCTTTCTCTCTATTTTCTCTTTTTCTCTTCCCGTTTTAGAATGCCTCCTCTCAAAAAAATTTTAGCCTCCTCTGATGTCTCCCCCTGCTCCATGGTCCTTTTTTCCTTTTATTGTTAGGGTTTTCACCAAAAGGCCCAAAATTCTGAATTTTTCCTTTTTTATGTATAAAGTAACATTGGTTCAAAAATTTAATTATTTGTCATATTCTATTTTTCTTTTAAAAATTAATTCTGAAATTTTCCTATTTTATTAAGACAAATTTGTTTTTTTTTTTTAAACCTTTTGATTCCATTCTTCTTTTGTAATATTAAAATTCAGATTTTTTATTTTTTTTATTTTTTCATTTTTATTTAAAAAAAAAATTAAATCAAAATTTTAGTGTTCACAATAAAGAGGTTTTAGAATCTGAAAAGTGGACCACAACTTGGTATGGAAGTTTAAAATATGAAGTGGTGTGCAAACCTCAGCAGTTTTATGTTGACTTGGAGGAAAAAATATGTTCATGCAGATTTTGGGGGCTAACTGAACTACCTTACAGGTTATATATTATTTTGTTTATTCTTAAGATGCTTGCTATTTTGTATATACTATTATGCAATTTGGCTATATTGGTAAGGCATGTTATTCTACATATACTATTCTGATTATTCTACAATTCTGCATAATTGGTTATTCTGCTATTCTGCATATACTATTCTGGTTATTCTGCAATTCTGCATCATTGGTTATTCTGCTATTCTGCATATACTATTCTGGTTATTCTGCTATTCTAAATATACTATTATGGTTATTCTGCAATTCTGCATCCTTGGTTATTTTTCTATTCCGCATATACTATTATGATTATTCTGCAATTCTACATCATTAGTTATTCTACTATTCTGCATTTATTATTCTACAATTCTGCTATTCTATATATTTGCAATTTTACTATTCTACTAATATACTTTGAATTCTGCTATTCTACTGAACATAATATATTTTGTTGTATGTAGGCATGCTGTTGAAGATATATATGCAAATAATTGTGATCCCATGACTTTGTTGATAAATGTTATCACATTGACACATATATAAAATGTTATGAACATATAATTCACCCAATTAATGGAGAAGAAATGTGACCAACTACTGGGTTACCTGCACTTGCACCACCACAAGTTAGAACACCTATAAGAAGGCCTAGAAAGTTAAGGAGGAGGAAAAAAGATGAAGATCCAAAATCGTATAAGCTTAAAAGGAAAAATACATCTATCATATGCTCAAAGTGTCATATGTATGGCCATAACAAAAAAGTCTATAAAAACGTGTTGTCTGCTGAACAAATGACTGCAAATATATCATCTAATAGAAGAAAGAAAATTGGATCTGCATCACAAGTAAATACTGGATCTGCATCTTCCTATTATGCATCAGCTACTACTTCAACAATGACAGCACAACAAAGCATGACTGTTGGATTATCTTTTTATGACTACTAGCTCTAAGGACAAACTTCCTATACAGAAAGCCTCATTCAAATGGTAAGGGAAGTCATGTGTAACACATAACCAACTTCAAACTACTGTTATGCAAGGGAGACGACAAATTATTTCAACTCAAGAGTCTCAATATCCTAAGAACATATGAAGTTTACTCTTGACTTACTGGATGCAAGACTTTTATTTATGTCTTTTTTTGCTTTCTATCCGGAATGTATATCTTAAAGGGTCTTTTTCGCTATACTTTATGATATGGATATTATTTTTTGGTTTTGAATCATGTTGCTACTATTTTTGGGACATATTAAGTCAATTTTATATATTGTTTTGGGAATGTATATGTTAATGACAATTGGAAAATGCAACATAATCATCTTCTTTATTTCAAGTGATTACATTATTGCCACATAATATTTGTTTGGATATACTTTATCATTTTAATTACTTTGTTCCTTAAGTTAAAACTGATACTTTCATAACATAATAACATACATTATTTATTTGAAATGGGTGAAGTATTACAAGAAATTTAACTCCATAATTTGCAACCTACTCTACCCCACCAATACATACTTCAAACTATAAGTTTTGTACTTCAGACTTCAAGCTTTAAACTCCATAGATTTTGCAAAAGCAAAAACTCAACACCACCATTATCGTAATGTAGCTTGATAACAATGCTATCATCTTGTAGTTGTATACTAATCTTCTCATCTTTATAGACTATTTTGTTGTTTGTTAATTGTATCTATTGTACAATCAAAAAATGGTTCATCCACCCATTGAAAAAAACCACAACTTCATTCTTCCCACATGAACAAAATAAAACAAACATGAAAAAATCATAGCAAAACAAGATGAAAAAACCATAGTAAAACAAAATGAAAGCATGACAAAATTATAGAAAAATAAAATGAAAGCACTAACACGATAACTTACTTTAAAATTTAGACACCTACGAAACCTTTTTTCTAGATTTTGAGGAGTCCATGATGTGTAAATCTATACTTGACCCCCATAATCACAGAATGACACTCTATTCCTCTTCCTTGAAGTAGAAATGCTTGCTGCAGTGGTCTCTATTTTTTACTCTATTGCAGGCAGAGAAAGGAAAATTGGCATAGGAGGCACAATTTGCACAATTCAATTTAGGGTTTCTTTATTAGCATATTGTTTTGGCTATTTAGTTCTTTATACGTTGCATCTATTTTACACGTTAGCAATTTTTGTAAATGACGTTAAGATTGAAAGTAACGGCTGAAACTAAATTGAGATTAAATTTATGTACAGGGAGTTATTTATAATTTTTTAATATATAGGGATTAAATTACAAATTTGTGTCAGATACAGGGACTAAAAATTGCATTTTAACTGTTTTGATAAAAATTGCACCATTTTCACCCGACGATGACATGTGCAACCATTCATATCATGATTATTCTTGATACTTATGGCTTCATAGGATTTTATCTACTGCTTTTTCTTTAGTAGACATGTTTCTTTTATACATAGTAAGATGTTGGTAATTGTCTTAAGACATATAAAAGCCATTAAGTTTAAACATGTAGTCAAAAGCCTATACATATAAGGTTTTAACTTTCTTAAATTACCGTTGACAGTTGAGGATAGAAGTGTAAAATTACCCATTCAATGTTGTGTTTTATACAAAGATGAAAATAGGTCATGTCATTCAAGAGAGGCATATGGCTTAACTACCTTTTTAAAGCCTAATATGACCTAACCCATTTAATTAATAGGTTTAATTTAGACTTTTTAAGAAACTTAATTAATTAAATAGGTTAGATTTAAACTTAAGAAAAATCCTATTACACTTATTAAAATAGTTTATTTAAAATTCATAAAATTTATAATAATATATTAAATAAATTTATATAAAAAATATAATATAATAATTATTATTTGTGCATTTTAGATTTATTTTATTGCATTTACTAATTTAGGTCTAATAATTATTTAGTTATATTATATTTGTTGATTTAATGTATAAAACTTTATGTTACTAAATTTGTTTAATGATTTATAAATTGATGTTCATTTTATTATATTTTTTTTGTATGTGTAATGATTTACTTATTTAAATTAAATATATGGTTTAAAAGTAATAAATAAAAATATGTAATTTTATTATACATATTCAAAGTGTTAAATCACTTTTCTAATATTTTATTAAGATATAACTCTTATAAATTTTAAAAAAATATATCTATTTGAACTTTTAAATCCCGTTTAATAAAAAAATAAAAATATATTTATTTAAATAGTTTAATAATCTATTTATAAAAAAATTGAATGACCCACTGAATAACTCATAGGTTAAATCAGACTTTAAAAAAAGTTAAGCTTAATAAAAAAAATTATGACAGGTAATAAACCAAAACTTAAGCTTTAAAATTATTAAAAATAAATTTATTTATATAAAATATGGCCTAACTTATTTTTATCCTTAGCTCCATATAATAATGTTTCTCGCGCTCTTTTTAGAAATTTTTGAAAAACTGTGACAGCATTTTAATTATAAAATTAGTAACTTTTCTTAAAATAAATCAAATTAAACGCATTAAATTTCTTGGACAAAGACTTTTATGCCACGCCTGATGTCAACGGGACAACGAAATAAAACTAGTATTGTTCGAATATTATAATAGTTGACAACTAGAAAAGAATATTACGAATTTATGATATAATAGGAGAATATTTTCTTTCAACTGTTTGAAAAATAAACAAAATGATAAAGAAATTAATAAATGATAAATTATTTTAATTCTCAATTTGGGAGAGAAAAAACAAGGTATTAGATCATGAAATGAAATCTAATTTTAAACAATAAATACAATAATTAATATATTTGTTTTTCAATCATCTCAGTTCCTTCATTCTATAAACAGCTTGAAAGGGATCACATAGAAACATCATAAACTAAGTGAGCAGCAACTTGAGCAACCCACCTCATAGAAGCCGCAAATAGACAAGAGTTGTCAACGCAATCGAAACATTTTCGTTTCCTTTATTAAAAGAAGTACTCTTGTCCTTCGAAGTTCAAACGCATTACTAGGCAGTATACACATACAAACACAGTACACAACATAAGCTAACTAGCTAGTAACGGGTCTAGGTCCACATCCACTTGCAACAACCATCGATAAATAAAATATGTAGGAAAAGGAAAAAGAACAAAGGTATTGTTTTTTCTTCTTGTTTTGTTGATTTTTCAAAGGCCTTTTACACTCCTAGAGGCTGCTGTGATCTGATCCTGCTCTTTCTTAGCCTTTCAGCAATGATGAAAGCAAGCTCAAGAGATTGTGAAGCATTGAGCCTTGGGTCACAATGTGTGTGGTAACGTGAGCTCAGGTCATCAAATGTGACCGTCCTTGACCCACCAATGCACTCGGTCACATTTTGACCCGTCATCTCAAGATGAACCCCTCCTGGGTGGCTCCCTTCTTGCTCGTGCACATCAAAGAATGCTCTCACTTCGGCCTGCCCAATTAATTCAGTGAAGTCAGAGTTGGTGGTATCAGTGACCACAATCAAATTTCTCACTAAACTGAAAAAAGCGACATAGTGCAGCGATGTGTCATTGTGTCTATAAGTTGGCAAGAATAAAACATTAACACCAACGTGGGCCCCAAACGTCCAATCCCACCTACCGATGGAGAAATGTAACCAATCCCTCAATGATATTTAGAACCAAAATATGGACTTGAATATTTCACCTACTTTTACTGGTAGACATTTTTCGACCTACCACTCCCGCTTCTAAACATTATAGCCTTCAGGTTTGGTAGCCCACCATTGAGGACCACAAGTTCAGAAACCAGAAAGAATAAGTCTTCTTTTTAATGATTTTCCCTCTCTCAAATAGAACGTTTTAAAGGCAAAGATATTTAATCCAAAGATTATGACTAGCAATGAGTGAAACGATTTATGTTCTTCTGAGGAAGACATAACTTATTTGCTTTTAATCTTAACATGTATATATTTAAACCCAATAGCCACTCAACCGAAAAAAATAGACACAAGGATTGTACCCTGATGGCATCGAAGGGACGAGTTTTGAGACCACATGGAGCCTTTATGGTGTTTCCATGCATAGGATCGCTGACCCATGTGACAATTTGCCCAGCTCTACGCACTGCTCTGATTAGATGTGGAAGCTTCACTCTCATATTTTCAGCTCCCATCCTAGTGATTACAGTTATTCTCCCTGGTTTGTTTTGGGGATTCAAGATCTCGATGAGTTTAACAAGCTCATTTGGATCCATCTTATCACTTACCTGCCAATTTATCAAAAACATAGAACTTCAATAAAACAAATAAAGCAGCTTCCATGCCAAGGAGTGAAGATAAAACACTCTAGAGATTGGAATTTGGAGCATCATGGGGATTATACCAAGTGATTTAATTTGCTTGCTTAAGCTTATTTATGATTTCATCAAATGGAAGTGCAGATGTATGATAAGAATCATGTTTAAACCTTAATTCCCAAGGGATTAGCAACTCCTCTTAGAAACTCAACATGGGCACCATCCAGCTGCCTGGTTCGTTCCCCAACCCAAAGCATATGGGCTGAGCAGTCATAGTAGCGATCAGAAGTTGAATCCAGCCTAGTGAGTGATTGTTCATATGGCAATAACAAGCATTCATGAGATGTCCAGAATTCAGTGGTTTTCATTATGGGATGATCCACAGTGAGCCCTGCAGCAGCCATGAATCCAAGGGCCTCATCGACCCGGTTAGCAAGCTCTCGGTACCTGTCATGCCAATAACAGATTAAATTTACTTAAAGCCACATATATCATTGAAGATCAACATAATAGACCTTGTAAAAAGAAAAAAGTAAACAGGCATATTCATCATGAACAAGAAAATTGTGAAAGAGCAATAATGTTTTTTATTACAACAATCTTATACTACTTCCCTTTTAGATAATAAAACAACAAAGTCATACATTCCAAACACGCTCGCTAGATGTAACTTACAAAACTAGGAAAAATGTAAAATAAAAATATAAAGTGTAAGCATTATGTTGCTGAAATAAAAAGGGCATTAAAAGAAATCAGGGAAAATTCTCAAGTGAAAATGTATTGCTTTCCAAAAATACAATGCACCACCAATCTATGGTATTTATCTCTAGTTAAATACCACAAAATTAGGAAATATAACTCCAATTCATTATTGCACAATATAATTTAGCCATGCAAGTTCACATCAACCACACAAATACGCATTTTCACAATCTAATAATTTTGGAAAAATATTTGTTATACCTTACTTTTGTTTTATATCCTTTTATATTGCATGTAAAATGCCAAGTCACCAAGCAAAGGAGAGGAAAAAAAAAACAGCAAAGGTTTTCTTTTAAAACCTTGGTTAACCTCAACTCTTAGTATCAAGTTAAAGTATCCAAAAATAATGACTTATTGTTAAAATAAAATTGTTTATCACACTTTAAATTTGCAATAAATAATTTCTTTTTTAATCAAAATTACAAATTAAACTTCACTCTAAATACTAATATTAACAAAAGTATTTTTTAAAAATTAATATAAAAGAATAGTAAGGTGAAATAAGGGAGTTCTGCCTTCCGTATCCGTAGTAGAGACATAACTTTACGGAAAAAAACAAGATCCACATATGAGTTCACTCACGTCTCACAACTATGGGTGAGTAAGATTTAACGAGTAAATTGGTATAACCAATGAAATTTCTCCAAAGTCATCATCCCTCACGTCAGATATGTGAAAGAAACCATATACATAAACTATCATCATCAGATAACACTTTGTGAGGAACACATGTAACTCGTGTTGATTTAACTTAATTTTTCACGAAACTCTAGTTCAATTGAAGTGGGTAACAGCATTAGAGAGAGAAACAACAACCCAACACCCTCCACCACAAATTTGTGACCACTCTCCACATATCACTTATCAATCACCACTTTACCTTATATCTCCAACGAAACAAAAAGAGATTCTATCTTTTTTTTTTTTAATAACCAAATTAACTTTCATCCCGTTTTATAAAATCCTAACCAAAAGAAAGAAGCCCAACTCAGATTTTTCCTTTTACAATTACCAGCCAATTTATATTTCTCGTAACCTAAAACACAAATGTAAATCAGCGAATCTTTAACAGTGAAAACAACCAATTGGAATGACTGTAAATAAATAAATACCTATCTCCCTGTTCACTGTGTTCTGTGAAGTCCAAATTCCACTGAGTAACCCTCTGCATAGCAGCATAACCACCAGTGGCAAAAGCTCTCAGAAGATTGAGAGTAGCTGCAGCTTGACAATAAGCTCTAATCATTCTCTGTGGATCCGGAATCCTTGACTTCTCTTCAAACGCATCACCGTTAACGTTATCCCCTCTGTAACTGGGAAGCTTAACGCCGTTCTTCTCCTCAAACGGATCTGATCTCGGCTTCGCAAATTGGCCCGCCATTCTTCCCACCTAAACAAACATTACCCACATTCACATCGTTGTAATACAATATGGTCTCAAAACAATATAATTTGCATATGTATATATGGTACCTTTATGACAGGCATTTGGCCACCGAACATCATGACGACGCTCATCTGAAGGAGAATTCGGAAGGTGTCACGGATGTTGTTGGCATTGAACTCTTTGAAGCTTTCGGCGCAGTCTCCACCTTGGAGAAGGAAGGCATTTCCCATGGCAGCTTCGCCGAGATGTTCCTCCAATGTCCTCGCCTCGCCGGCGAAGACGATTGGAGGAAAAGCATCAAGGGTCCGAAGCACCGACTCAAGCTCCTCCTGGTTTGGGTATTCCGGAAGCTGCAGGGCCTTCTTCAATTTCCAGCTGTCAATGGTCCACTTACCCCTGCGGGCTTCGATCGACGGTTGGGGTTGTGGTTCAGTTGAAGGTTTGGGCTTGTCGGAGACGACGGGGTTTTTGGCGGGCTCGGCCGCATGGACGGCGAGAATGGAAGGGGTGGGCCTGGGCTTGGGCCTGAGGTTGGTGGAGGGAATGAGGGGGTGGGTTTGGGGGATTAATGATTTGGTGGGAATGAGAGAGTTAGAGGCTGAGGAGATAGCCATTGTGGTGTGAGATTGGGAATGTTATTTGAGGGATTCAGGTCACGCTTTGGGGGAGGTGCCTGAAGAGGGTGAGCCAAGTTTTGTGAGGGTTTTATAAGGGAACGGGTGTGGCCTTGGTTGTTGTGCTGTGTGTGTCTGGTAGAGACGGGGTGGTGGTAGTTGGAGAAGGGTCTTTTCGTCATTTCACTTTTTACCAGGGTATTTTTGGGATTGTCTGTGCTATTTGTCCCTCAGGTCAAATTGCTTCCTGCTTTTTTAATTCCTTTTTTTGGTGTCCTTCACCTACTCATCTCTCCTTTTTTTTGCGTAGGTGAGAGTGAGCAGGCGGCGCGGCGTAGCGTGGCGTGAACGACCCAGCCGAATGACATTTTCAATTTTCAAATTTCAAGTTTAGACCTCATTTTTATCCTTTTCTGAAAAACTTGTTTTTATTTACTGGCACCAAGTTAAGAATTCAATTATTTATTTTAAGTCCAAGCCACTTGGGAGAGCGTCAGCGTTGAGGGGCTTTATATTTCATACAGAATTGTGGGTTACAAGTTTAAATTTTTTATTATAATAATTGTTTGAAGTCAAATGGTTGGTTAGCTGTGCCTTAGCTTTTTATGGATTAGTTTTAGTTTTAAATTTTGAAAGTTTAGAAAATTAAATTAATTTTTAGTTTTAAATTTTTATTTTTTTTATTTTCAAATTATGATTTTAAATTTAATAAAATAAATCATTTATCATTTCTTTGTTCTAACTCATTTTCTGTTAAGGTAATTAACTAATAATAGTAACGACAATAACTATTTCTATAGGGATATTAAAGATGAAGCAATAATAAACTAATAATAGTAGTAATTTATTGTAGCATTAATAATAGTGATTAATTCAGTTGTGATGATGACGAAATCCATTATTGCAGTGACATTATTATTGAAGAAAATTTTACTTATTAAAATAAGTAAGTATTTATTTAAAAAATAATAACTACAACTATTTTAATACAATAGATAATTCACTGAATTTTGTGCAATTAATTTTTCACTGATCCTTAATAATAATATATCAAAAACTTATACAATTATAAGTCACTTAAGAAGGAAATAGTCCCGAAGGACTTTAATAATGTATGCAAAATTATGAGTTTAAAATTTAAATTTTGGAAGTAAGATTATTTGAAATCAGAGTTTAGGGTAAGTCATGTCTTAATTTTTTTAATTAACAAAATTCAAGTTATATTTTATGTGAATATCTTTATTTTATGGATGTCTGGTAATGGTTAATTTAGATAATGATACATTGCTTGAGTTTAGAAAAAATATAAAAAAGTATATTTAATATGTTTTATGTTTAAATTAAATTTATAACAAAAACTATTTTATTAAAATATTTAACTAATTTAAATGCACCCAATATCAATAAACCTAAAATAATGATAAGTGAATGCAATAAATAGTCGATTGACCGAAAGAACCATAGAAGACTTGAAGTGATATGAATGTCGATCATATAACACTGACTTTGATTAAACTAATAATCCTTTATTAACTTTCTTCTTATCAGAAAGAGCTTTTTTCATATATGTTATTGTTAATTTCTTTTGTTTTTTTTTCAAGTAGGACACGTCTCTTTTTTCTTCTTTTTTTGCTGAAAGGACACCACTTCTTTATATCTATATATTTTGAAATTGAATTTTATTTTAAAAACTTTGTAGTAATACTATCTCAATCAATTGATTACTGGAATAAACCAACACTGTATAGCTTCATCAACTAACTTTCACCGCCACCAAAATTCATACATTTTTCCACAGAAACTTATTTATTATCTTTTTTGGTTTGCTTAATGTTAATAATTGATTTAGTGAAAGTTTTTACGGATTATATTTATCTTATATTTTATGATAGAACAAATATCATATTGAAATTAAAAATACTATCTTAGGAAAGAAATATTGTATTATTATGCGATTAAACCACGTGTTGTTAACTCAAAGTTTACTTTGTGACATAAAGTAGAAGTGTACTGATTTAAAAAATTTATTATTTGGCATATAATTGTACTGATAATTCATACGAATACGTACATATTAAAAGATCGATATAAGATTATTGAGTATAAAGAATTTTGATACACTAAAATGTACATGTAAATTGAATATAACTTCTTCATTAATTAAATACATTGTTGAATTTATAGAATTTAAAATGTTGTGAATGATTACAATATTTGAAGGTATTAATTGATGTTTGTATCTGATGTCCTGTCACATGAATGTGTTAAAATAAACAGAAAAGAAAAAGATGAAGACAAATTTTTGGGCTCCCCGAGGATTTATAGTTCTCACATGCCACGGCCTATAACTTTTTTCTCTCTTTCGCTGTCACTTCAGGAGCTAAAGTAAAAACCCACACAAATAGGCCTATAGTATCTCAACTTGCTTAGCCCGAAGTGTGGCAACAGTTAGATAATTTGCTTAATATATATATGATTATTCAAAATTTGAATTTATTTAATTTTTATAAAATTGATTTATTTGATTAAAAAAAATTTATATCAACGATTAAATTAAATAATTTTAAAATGTATGAAAAATTATTCGCAAAATATAGAGCTATTTCATTCCTTGAAACTTTCCTAATGGCATCACAGGGACGAAAAGGGTAGGAAGTAGAACTTTAAAAAAAAATCCTTAAAAAATGAGAGAATTTGGAAAGGCAGGATAATTTATTTTTTTTTGTAATAATTTTTCTTTTAAATAATAAATAAAAAAAACATTTAAAAATTACTTATTAAAAATTATTATAATAAAAATTTAATATTTTGATTAAAGTATATTATTGTTAAATGATTTTTTATACAATTTACTTATATTTTTTTAATTTTTATTTATTCATATAAGAATTGTGTATTTTTACTCATTTATATAATACATTTTTTATATTTTATTTTTATTCTATTTTTAATTATGTTATTCCTCTCTCTTTTTATTTTCTCTATCATTAAGGTTGTGTTTAGATAGAACATTTTCAAATTCCAACAATTCATGTATTTGAATAGTAAAAAAAATAATTTAAAAATATTATAAAATTTTAACTAAATAATTTTTATTTCAATAAAAAAATTAAGAGACTTGCTTTAAGATAGAATTTATTATTTTCATATTTTTTAAAATTTTAAAATCTCTCATCTAAACACAACCAATACTCGTTTCAAAAAAGTTTATATATTATATAACTCATAGAAAAGGGTCTTAAAAATATACAGTATCCTACACTCACTTAAAAAGGTTTTGTGATATTATTTCATTTTTATCACTTGTAATTTCTTATAATGTCATAATTACTTTAATTCATTTCAATCTAATCCTAAAATGATCTTTTTATTGGTGGATTTTCATAATTTAAACATTTAATATTCATCAGGGTGAGCACCAATCGGGTTTTTATTTAAATATAAAATAAAAAAAATTAAAATATAACCTTATAAAATGCCCAAATAGTTTAATTAAGTTCTTTTATCCCTCAAAAAATTATAATTATTTCATTTATTCCTTATTTTTAATTTTTCAAAATAAAACTCTCATAATTTTTTTGTTACAAAATAACCCCTTTCATTATTTTATTTGTTCCTTCTAAATATTATAAGTTTTCATTTAGTTCCTCATTTATAAAAAATCAAATAAAAAATTTATAATATTGATGAAGACCAAATAAAAAACTTGTGTTATTTAGAATGATTAGATAAAAATGAAAGATGTTCAAAAGAAGCAAATAAAATATAAAAAATATATAATGTAAAAGAAATGTCATTTACTAATAATTTAATATTAAATTATCTATTTTTTAGTTTTCCATCCGAATTAATATATTCTTTTTAATAAAAAGAAAACTGTATGCATATATATTATGAGTTTATACTAAAAATATGATAAATTATACAAATAAATAGTTTTGTTAAAAAATAGTGATATATACTATTAATATATTAAATAGTGGTAAAATATATTATTTGTTAGCATAAATTTTTATAATTTATATATATTTGACTAGATAAAGATAAATATTATAATAACAAAAGTTATTCTGACAATTTAAATTTTTCAGTAAATAACAATTCTTTTAATAATAAAAATATTATTTATATTAAAGAAAAATATATCATAAAAAATTACGTAAAAAATAAAGAGAGTATATAAAAAGATCCCCAATTTAAAATTAGAAAAAAAAAAAAAACAAAAACTTAGGTGAAGCATAAATCTGACGGCTATAGTTGTCGCTCTGTGGATGGATTGGAAAATCAAGTTTTGCTCAATGGGTCCATTTTCTCTGCTTTTCCTCGGACTTGTTCTCCTTCTTTTCCTACAAACTTCAAATTTTCCCTACCAATTACCAAACTCTGGCTTTGGCATAACTTCAATTTAAAATAATGTTCAAACAACAAACAAATTAAAATCAATCTTATATACCATCTCATTTTCAGTTTTGCACGCACAAACAAAATAAATTATTGAAAATCATAGTACTTTGCACTTTTGTGGGTTTCTTGTCAGCTACTATATTTATATTTCTGATTCTCTTAATTATCCAAATGTGGAGACATTGGAAAGGGAATGACAGCTTAGCCCATGGTCTTCGCAAAATTTTCAAATTAATTATTATTATTAATTTAAAATGTTATGTGACATTAATTTATTTTTTCTATAAAGAATCAAAACAAAAAATAATACGTTGTATGTAAAGATTAAAATGCAGAGTTCTACGTAAAATTGTTAAAATTAAGTGCAAGATAACGACCAAAATTTGAAAACAAAATTTTGATGAACGATAGAAATTGATTTGTAAATGTTTGTTATATAATGACCTAAATTTGTAAAAAAAAAAATTTTAAATATAAGGATCATAATAAAAATAAAAAAATAAAAAAATTATAAGTTAAAAGTAATTTATATATTTTAAAAAATTAATTTTAATTTATAAAATTTATGTCTCTAAAAAATTAATCTAAACTATACCTAAATTTATAATTAAATATTATAAATAAGCCAAAAGAGACTTAAAAATATGTTTAGGAAAAGAATTTTAAAAAAGAAAAATATATTTTTTAATTTTAA